AAAAAAAGGGCCCGCCACGCTGTGCCAACAATCAGCTGATCCGGCACAGTGCAGCAGTCTAGACGCGGATCGATCGTCAAGGGAAGCCCTTGTTGACAGATCCATGTCTAGACTGCCACGCTCTACCGGATCAGCTGATCATCTGCACAGCGCGGCGGCCATGTTTATTTTAATGAAGCAGGGATTATTTAAATCCCCGCTTCTTTGCCTATGCCAGGGAAACTAGTTTATATGGCTCCGTCGACGGCATACCCAAGGAGAAACGCTGTTTTCCTTTCTGTCCTCTCCTTGTATGAAGACTAGTTTAACATATTGTATGTCTGACTTTGTGGAGATATACATTTCACTTATATAAATAAGCTCTTTTAATGTGGAAAAAGTACGAATTGGGGATGTCCAACTTGGATGCCCAGTCCAAATTCTAATTCGGCCGTTACACTGCCCATCTAAAATCATTTCTGCAATTTCACTTGAATATGAGAATCTTCATTTTCTTCCCTTGCATTGCTATTAAGAGTGTAGCTGTCATCTCTCCATCATGATTCTGCCCCCAAAGAGATGGCTGACAGGGTTGCTGTAATATTTTTACAGATATGAAGGGGAAAAAATCATTGTCATGATAGTTTGCCAGTGTTCTTGTCTGTTTCTTTCAGAGCACAAACTAAAATCCACCAATCTATGCTGAGATCAGGCTATTTTGCACTGGAGGGTTAAAAAATGCTAGTATGAAATAATGTTGATAAAACTCTTAATCCCTACAACTAACTTGGAAGGATTAAATATATGTATATAGTGTACTCCTGCTGCATGTGATCCACTATTCTAAGTCTAGAGGCTATTTGTAGGTTTCCTAGCCTTGGAATTGACTGCTAATTCTTTACAGAGATAACAATAATGGTTTTGTAAAGGAGATTTGAGCTGTCCTCCTTAACTATGCCTGGGTATGTCTACACTACCACCCTAGTTCGAACTAGGGTGGTAATATAGGCAACCGGGGTTGCAAATGAAGCCCGGGATTTTACACGCAGCACGGACTAGGTAGTTCAGACTAGGCTTCCTAGTCCGAACTACCGTTACTCCTCGTGAAGCCTAGTCCGAACTACCTAGTCCGTGCCGCGTGTAGCCGTGCGGCACGGAGTCCGCACTAGCGGACATTTAAAAATGGCGGCGCCCAGCTTTATGCAAATGAAGCCCGGGAAATTCAAATCCCGGGCTTCATTAGCAACTCCAGTTGCCTACATTGCCACCCTAGTTCGAACTAGGGTGGTAGTGTAGACATACCCCCTGTTACTCTCTCAAATGACTTTTCAATTTATTTTGCTTTTTGGGTAAAATTTTGATATCTGTGTTCACTTAAAAGCAATGAGTGAAATGCAGCTGTATTCAAATAGATGTGCTTATACTACATCATGACTTTCAGGCAGTTTGATCTTGGCTCTGGCATCGTACAGCCTTTTTAATCAAAAGTTACTTCTGTGCCACTCCTTTTGAAAATTGGACAACCTGCTGATAAAAGCTGTCTGTCAGATACCTCCTCTTGGAAGTGCAGTGATGAGACTCAAGATGCAGTAAGATTCAGAATGCCAGGTTCCTCAAAAAGAGTCCTGAGGGTCAGCAGAGTATGTGGAGAAATAAGGAGAGAAATTGTGCATACTGATTTTTTTTGTTTGTTTGTTTTTAAATCTTGGATTTTATGGATGTTTGTGACTGTGATATTGTTCTTAAGAAAGTCATGTGACATAGCTACTGCCCTGAGAATGGAATCTTCTTTGCCTTTGTGTGATGTTCTCTAGAACTGCTTTGATGCTGGCTTGTGAAGCTGGAAGCCTTAACATCGTGGAAGCCTTGATTAGAAAGGGTGCCGACTTCAGCCTTGTAGATTCCCTCGGACACGATGCCCTACATTACTCAAAGCTTTCTGAGAACACAGGGATTCAGAGCCTTCTGCTGTCAAAGATCTCTCAGGATGCCGGTATGTGTGAGGAATAACCTTCAATGTGTCAGTCAAAACTGACCGTATTGGAGTTTTGTTGAAAACCTAAGAACTTATAAGATCATATCCAAGGGGGTTATCAGGATGGTGGGAGCAGTTATGAGGGGGAGGAAAAGAGGGGAAATACTGCAGTAACATAGCAAAGATTAGTGCGCAGCTTGGAATTGGACTTCTTATTCTGTGAAGGGAACACATTCTTTCTTAGCTGGGTAATTTTGTTCTCGGCTTCCAGTGAACGATGTCCAGGAGAGGCTCTAATGTAGAGATGGTCATGGCATTTGGGCCCACTCTGGAAAGGTGTTCCAAGCATGGTGTTGGCATGAAAGAAACACACTGGACTTTGCAGAGAAGCAGGGATATCAAGACTTGGTTATAGGCAGTCAGGAAACAGGTGGTGGGTATCACAGAGGATTTTTTCTTCAGGGTATTTAACATAAAACACTTTTTTCTCCTCTCCCCCCCTTGATCTACAGATACAAAGTCACCAACAAAGCCAAAGCAGGTATTTGCCTCTCCTCTGTTGTTTGAAAATATTCAGGTCTGTGACTTTCTAAGAAAATGATGAATGGCATATGCTTAAAAGCACTAATTTAAATGTCACTCTGAGATTAGTTGTAATTATAATGTCCTGTAGCACGAATGTGTGAGTTGCTGATCATAGAAGCATGTTACAGAAACCTATTGCTTGCATAGCTTTTTCTTTTCTTTTCTTTTTATTTTAACATGGTTTTTGACAAAATTCAGTAACCAACCAGCCTTAGGAAGACAGGAAAGGAGTACTGGGAGGTGGGGGAGTGGTTTGGCAGTCAGGAAGAGAAAGCACAAACTCTTGTTGAAAAACTCTCTCACATCATGATTATGGAGCAAGCAAAAGCAACATGAAACAGATATTCCACGATTACAAACAGTGTTGCTGGGATGCCCTTTGCTAGAGATTCTATTGGTGAAAATCCATCCAGGTAGAAGCATTAAAGATGCCCTAATAGCACTTATTAGTTGCACAATATTTTTGAGGGTACACACTCCATTAAAGTGGGAAGCCATGGAGTGGCTGGTTCAGGCACCCCTTTTATGCAAGAAAAGGTTCGTTAAAGCTCTCCAAATAAGAGTGTTGACAGAGGAAAAAATGGCCATTAATGGTCGCTTAATTAAGCCATAAACAAATGAAATATTTGAGATGACTAGTGAATGATAAACCTCTCACCAGCTTGTGCTTTTTCACTGTATCTTTATTTTTGCTGAAGCATGAATTGCAAGGGGTGGGGTCCAGTGTTTTCGGTAAACTGGGTGCTTGAGCAGCCTCCCGAGAGGGATTAAGGTGCCACCTAGCTGATTACCAGAGTGCCCAGAGACAGAAGCATGTGCTTCTACTGGTGCTTCACAGCTGTATATTCCTCTGTGCACATAACAAAATTTATTCTGCATATAGATGTTCTCTCTAATTTTTCCAGTGGTGAGGGCCATCCTTCTCTTCAAGCATATCTACTATCCAGCCTATTATAGCAGTACAGTTAGTGTGGAGAAGCTTGAATGAGACAAGGAACAAACTGCTTAAGTTATGTGGGATTTTGGATAAAACAGCTTACTCAGACTTTACTAACCAAACTAACACGCCTCCATTCTCTGGCCTGTGAAACTTTCAGCATGATCAAGCCTCTAAATTAAGTTCAGAAAGAAGTGGAACTCCAAAAAAACGCAAAGCCCCGCCTCCTCCTATCAGTTCTATCCAGGTAAAGAAAAAGTTCAGCTTTGGATACATTGATATTTTTAGTGGGGTGGGAAATCTCTATAGCGTTAATGTAAATGATGCTGGTAAAATTTGCACTGTTATTTTATATCTGTCTCATCTGTAATGAATAGATTTTTTTTTTCCCACTGAGATAAGGATGACATCTTGAAAACTCTTATTGGTTAAAGTTACTAAGAAATGCTAGAAATATGGCATAGTCTAAAAGCTGAACATGAAGACGGTCTCTCTGAAGGAGAAAGTTGTCTTTTTTTTATGAATGGCTTAAAATTCACTTCCCCATACAAATAAATTTAGAAAGCCAATAAGGGGAGAGAGCAGGAAAAATCTACATGATTGAATTACAGCTTAACAAATAGGATATTAATCTGAAACATTTACTCTGGTTAAGTGCAGTATTGAGTACTTAGGTTTGCTTTTTTGTGCTAGCATGGAATTATCGTATATGTTAACATAGGCAGTAGAATTCCCTAATATATATATACACACACACACACACACACACACTTCTTTTTCAGTTTACTGATTCATCCTCTCCACGTTCAGCAACCTCAACTCCAATTGCTGGAAAAGGACAGGCATTCTTCACTGAACAAGAATGCAAGGTATATTTGCTCTTGCAATTCTGTTGTGGGCTGCATTTAAGAGGATGAGAATACAGAACTTTAATAATCCATGTCAATGACTGGGAGATTCAGAACTTAATCATTTTGAGAAATAAAAAGTGTTCCTAATCTGTGTAAAATACAACTGCATATTCTTTTTAAACTTATTTTGATATTTTCTTTTAGTAAATATAGTGGTAACTCACAATAAATGAGTAAATGTTCTGCAGGATATAGTTAGGAAAGTAAATTTTAACCCTATAGTAGCAAGTTATTTAGTGCTAGCAAAGTGCCTGGCACTGTTCATTACATACAGTAAAGACCGTCCTTGTCCAAAAGATTTCATCGGAGTAGAGCTGTCTGCAAGTCCTATATTATCAAAGTCTGTAGTCCTTTGACGTTTTAAATATACGATACACACTATATTGCATCACTTGGCGCACAGGATAACTTTCAAACTGCTTGAGGGAATGTGGATGCCCAGATCACATTAATTTTAATGGGAATCAGGAGGCCAAATCTCTTAGGCTAATTTAAATTCTGGGCCCTAACTTTTAAGGAATGTTGTTTGGAACGAGATATCAGACTCCTGACAAAAGAGCCACCTGCTCTCAGAGCTTGACCTCATTCCATATTCATTTCTGTAAAGTCTGGAACTTCTTGAAGTGAAAGGATTCTCTCCTTGTGTCTCACAGGAAGAGATCAGCTCTATTCAGCGAGATAATAAGGATCGACTAAGTGACAGCACTACAGGTAAGGTGAATAATGAAGCCTCCTTTGATTCTCAAATATTACTTTATCAGCTGTTGTTTAGAACCATTTAAATGTAGGAATAATGATAATGGTATTAGGTAATGGTTTCAGCATTGCAACTCTTTATCGAAAACAGATGTGCCTACCATGATTAAAATGTTTATAGAAATTTAGCTAGAAATAATTCATTCATTTGGCAAATTAATGGTCTTGGAGGAGAAAAGACAAGTTTACCCTGTCTCAAAGACATAATGATTTTATATGAAAGGATAGTGATGGTAGCAAAAGCAAGAACTATGTTATCGCAATAGTTTTAAATGTTTTAACTTCAAAATTTATTTTTAAGGTGCTGATAGCTTACTGGATATCAGTTCTGAAACTGACCAGCAAGATCTGCTTGTATTGTTGCAAGCAAAAATTGCTTCTTTAACACTACACAATAAGGAGTTACAAGACAAATTACAGGTATATATCTTTGCACCTAATTCAAAGTAAAGTGATCTTTCAGTTCTTAAATAGCAGCATAAAAATACTTTGTTTTATAGTAATGTGCTGTGAAGATAAATTGCAACAGTTTGCAGGTAGTAACATTTTCAATACATCAAGAAGAAACTTTCTTAGATATTAAATTATTTGCAATTCTCATTTTTCCCATAAACTAGTTGATGGCCTTTAAAAAAAACAAAAACAAAAAAACACGGAGTTAATTATTTCAGAACTATGGCTAATGATTTAGGGGTTTCAGCATTTTAACTTTCAGGGCATGTCTACACTAGCCCCCTAGTTCAAACTAGGGAGGCTAATGTAGGCATTCAAAGTTGCAAATCAAGCCCGGGATTTAAATATCCCGCGCTTGATTTGCATCTTCCCGGCCGGTTGCCATTTTTTGAAATTTACAAGTCCGGACTAACTGCCCGCGTCTACACGTGGCAGGGACCCGGTATTTCGAAATAAAGCCCTAGTTCGAGCTACCTGTTAAACTTCATTCCAGGAAGAACAGGTAGCTCGAACTAGGGCTTTATTTCGAAATACCGGGTCCCTGCCACGTGTAGACGCGGGCAGTTAGTCCGGACTTGTAAATTTCAAAAAATGGCAACCGGCCGGGAAGATGCAAATCAAGCGCGGGATATTTAAATCCCGGGCTTGATTTGCAACTTCGAATGCCTACATTAGCCTCCCTAGTTTTAACTGGGGGCTAGTATAGACATACCCTCATAGCTTTTGATCCTTTTTATACTACAGAAATCATCCCAGGTGTTGAGACAAATTTAACATCCAGTATCTTCACTTATGCACTAAGCTCTTCTGAAAATCTAGCCCATTATGTTGTAATTGTCTATCTCTTTAGGGCATAATAGATTAGGTAAGGAACTTTTACTCACTAATATATTGTTTTATAAACACTAATGCTTTGTATGCAGGAAAAAGCAGTCAGAGATGCAGAAATGGATTCTACCCTAGATTCCTATCATTCCACCCAAACGGAGTTTGATCAGTCAGTGGACAGACAAAGCAAAACCTCAGCTCAGGAGCTAAAATCATCCTCATTAAATGCAACACAAAGTCAAGAGAAGTCAGCAAGCAACAATGAGGTAAAAATTAAGCGTCTGCAAGAAGATTTAAAGGATATACAGAGGAAATTAGAAGATTCAGAAGCAAAAAGAAAGTATTTAGAGACCCAACTTCAATCCAGAGTCCCAGAAACAATTCATTTAAATAGTGAAGATATTTCAGAAAACGGCTCTGATCTTAGCCAGAAACTTAAAGAAACCCAGTGCTGCTATGAAGAAGCTATAAAAGAGGTTTTGAGTGTACAAAAGCAGATGAAATTAGGACTTGTTGCTTCTGAAAGCAAAGATACTTACTCGGATGTCCATGAACTGAAGGTTACATGTGAGGAAATTGAAGTGCTAAAGCAAGAACTCAGGAAAGCATTGGAGGAAAGTGAAAGGTATAAAGAGAAAGTGAGAGAGTTACAGGAAAAACTCAAAGAAGGAGAGCAGAACGTTGCTAGCAAAATGTCTGTAGAAGAATGTGAGGAAATAAAAAATTCATACTGTTCAATAATTGAGAACATTAACCAAGAGAAAGCTTTGCTGATTGAGAGATACAAAGAAGGACAAGGAGAGATACAAAGGCTACAAGACAAGTTAAATCAGATGCAGTTGGAATCCAGTGATGAATCTCAGGAGATGAAAGAAGCAAAGAATAGAATGATAGATGACCTCCACAGACAAGTTAGTGAGCTGTCTCAGTTGTACAAAGAAGCACAAACAGAACTTGAAGATTACAAGAAGAGGAAAGCATTAGAAGATGGAGCTTTGGAATACATCCCTAAAGATGAGCATGAAAAACTGATGCAGGTAACAAATTCATTGAAAGATAAAGCTGAAGATGCATTATCAGACATGAAGTCCCAGTACACACAGGTATTAAATGAAGCCACACAGCTCAAGCAACTGATAGATAATCAGAAACAAAATTCTGTACCAGTTGCTGAACATCTTGAGGTGATAAACACTCTCAGAAGTACAGCAAAGGAAATGGAGGAAGAAATAAATGAACTTAAAGAAGAGCTTATGAACAAGGAAATTGAGATAAGAAATCTTCAGAAGGAATTGTTGGAAGAAAAAGCTGCAATTAATGAAGCAATGGTGCCTAGAGCTTCATATGAAGAACTCCAGTCGTCGTTAAAAGGTGAAGTTAATAGTTTGTCATCCAAACTGAAGGATTTAATTAAAGAGAAAGAGAATATGTCCTTAGATGCTGCACAACTGAGAAATGAAGTTTTGCAAATAAAAGGGGAAAAAGAAGGAATTCAAACACTGCTTGAGGCCAAGGAGAAAGAAATAAATGGTCTTCACCGTAAGTACCATCAAGCTCAAGAAGATCTTCTTGACATGAAAAGAAGTGCTGAAAACGCCTCAAAGTTAGAAGAAGATAAAGATAGAAAGGTTAGTGATTCATTGAAGAGATTCCTTTAATTACGTTAAGGGTTTCCTGGATGTTTAGATCTTGTAAAACATCTTGAGTATTACATGCAGTTCACAAGCTCCATATTAAACAAAGTGTTATGGAATATACCTTTTGACAGCGTCTTTTTGTCTTGTAATCTAAGGTCCATCTATAATACTGATAAAAGCTTGTTTAGCTAAATGCATATTTGAGCCTGTGGCGGTCCTAACAAGAAATGCTGCATGATCTGTCACAAGTCATAGGTGGCTCAGTTGCGGGAGTGCTTGGACTCCTATTTTGAAATGACAGAAGTGTGAGTTTAAAAAAAAGAGGGTTCTACAGGAAGAAAAGTTTTGCAAACTAGGGATGTTAGTTATCCGTTAATTAAATAGTTGGCCAACCAATTAATTTTTAGCAATTGGTTGACTGTTCTATAGTCCCTGGGGTGGGGCCAGCAGCCAGTATAATCCAGCCCCACTTTTGGGGAGCCCCTTGCCACCCTGTGTTGCTCGGCATTAGATAGTCCACAAGGGGAGCTAGTTTTAAAAATCAGACATCTAGTACAGAGGCAGCAGCATGGGGCAACAGCAGTCCCTATCTGCAGTGGGTCCAAGCTCTCTGCAGATAGAGGCTGCTGGGGCCAAGACGCATGAGGGCAGGGGGCTGGACTCAGTGATCTCCTGAGGTCTCTTCCAGCCCTAGGTTCTATGATTCTATGACAGAGGCTGCTGCTGGAGCAGCCTCTGTCCATGGCTAGCACCGCCGCAGACATAGGCTGCTCTGCAGGATTTGGCGCTGCCTCTGCCTGCAATGAGCCCAGGCTTGCTATGGGCAAAGGCTGCTTCGTGGCAGCCTCCCCTGTCCGACCCCCCATGCTGCTGCCTCTGATAGACAGCAGTGTGGGCGGGATGCAGGCGGCACTGCAGAGCCGGTGCTGGGGGGAAATGGCTTTTAAGCTGGCTCTTCCCAGCACCGGCTCTTGCTCTCCCCCTCCCCTTGTTGCCTCTGATGCAGAGACAGTGGGGCGAGATAGGGGTATGCAAGCAGTCAACTAGATTAAGCCTAGACTTATCGGTTAATAGACTAGCCAACTACTTGATCACACCCCTATTACAAACCTAAATAAAGATGCCTAAGTGACCAAAGATCCTACAGTTCTTATTTTAGCCATCTCAACTTGTCCTTTCCATAACTGGGATGTCTGAGAGCACACAGTTCTTAGACTAGAAAATGGGCTGCCCGTATGGTAGCTGTCTATACAACATTCTGCTGGCTCTGTATACTTTACCCAATTCTGCAATTCTGTCCTCAGACACAGGTGTATTCAGAGGTTGTGCCCATAAAGTCAGTAAATGCAATACTACTTCATGTAAGTTGTTAAAAACAGTGTGTTTTTCATTGGGAAATGTGAGCTTTCTGTACAAAAGCAGACTTGTGAGCAGAAACTGAACGTTTAAAATGATCAGGATAGTGGAGGAAAAGTAGGCAGTGAGCCAAGAGAATTTGGTGTGGATGGAGTCAGAATGGTGGAGGAGATGTGGGCAGGAAGAAGAGTAACAAGAGTACATTGGAAGATGGAGGAAAGGAAGTAGAGATAGAAAGGTAAATAGAAGAGAAACAATTTCTGGGAGAGGTAGGGAAAAACAGGTGAGGCAGCTGGAGAGCAACCGGCTGGGAGGACACATCTGGGTGCAGACCTCCCAGTCCTGGTGACGAGCATGCTGGCCTGCAGGATGGAGAAGGGGGCACTGCAGAGCTGATAGAGAAAGTGGTCCACTTAGTGTGAACAAAGTGTTGCAGCGTGGCTGGGACCCCTAAAATGTTGTTTACCTAGCAGCCACCTTGTGTGTCCAAGATCAAGGTAGAAATGCTTTTTCAGAATCCAAAAGAAAGGCACAAATATTCTCTTAATGGGAAAACAGTATTTCTTTCCTCCTTTCACATCTACCTCTTTTTCCTTGATAGATCCATGAGATGTCCAAGGAAGTTGGCAAGTTAAAAGAAGCATTGAACAGCCTTTCTCAGCTTTCCTATTCAACCAGTGCACCCAAAAGACAAAGCCAACAGCTGGAGGCATTACAACAACAAGTGAAACAATTACAAAATCAAATAGCTGTAAGTGTGGATTTTTAAATTATAAACTCTGGCTGCTCTCCTCGCTAATAGGATGTGAAGCCTTCTTTACAATGCTTTGTATGCCCAGTTAAAATGGAGCATTACCACTGAGTATAAGAAATGGATGCTTAATGCGATAAAGTGTACCCTTTTCATATGTGCTGTCATATCCGTGAATGATATGCAAGGACTCGTTCAGCAATAATACGGAACTTAGTTACCATGCCCCAGTATATTCTTCAGAGGTCTCACATTTAGATCAGTCAAGTTCATTCCATTTTCTGCTCTGGAGAGCTGGGAAATAGTGCAATAGGTCACAATAAGGGAAATGACACTACATGCACAGTATGAAGTTGAGTAAGCAACTGTATTAAGGTGGAGCATTAATTGGTGTTAAAAGGATTGCGTTAATAAAATAATTATGGGATCTCCTAGGCAGATATCATCACATCTCTGTACATTTGTTCATTTTGCTGTGTCACAAGTGAAACTAAACTATATAGGAGAGAAATGAGAGTTTAGAAACCCACAGCTTTAAATGGGTATCCAACCTTTTAGACCATAGTGCCATTAGAGCAAAGTTTAATAGTTGTTCCAAGAAGTTATGACTGTAATAAAATGTGGTGTATTTGTGTGGTCCTGGCGCCAGGATTCATAAAGTACACAGATTTGGACTGGGTTTTTGTGTTGCTAAGAAAGCTGCAGATTTAGTTATTGATTAAGGTCTTTCTTTATATATATATAAAAAAAAGTGTATGGTACAATAAGCCTGATATTTTTGGCAGAAATAATCTTTCAGCTCTTGGACAAATTTCTATCTAAACAGTACCATATTTTTAAAAAACATTTTTCTTTAGAGTTTGTGAACTGCTTAAAATGGTTTTAAAATTGTACCTTCCCATAAGTAAAAGGCCCAGTTCAGCAGAACATGAAGACTTCCATACTGGACAGAGCCCAAAATCAATTTTTCAACCACAAAATGCTCTTTTTGTGAGTTATGGAACTGGTCTGGTAGTGTTAAAAGTGGTGGTGGCCGGGGGTGGGGGTTGCACGAAACCCTCGTTTTGCACAAGATCCATATGCCTGTCCCTGAGAGGCATAAGGATCTTGCGCAAAATGGGGGTTTTGCGCAAAAAAACCCCATCCACACTGCTGCTTTTTGCGCAAAAAGAAACAGCAGAAAATATGCTAATGAGATCACGATGTATGCTAATGAGCCCCTCATTAGCCTATTTTCTTCCGGGAAAAACTCGCAGTGAAGGCAAAGCTCTACAGTGATGGAAAACCCCTCCCACTGCTGTAGTGAGTGTCTATACAGAAGCACTACAGTGGTGCTGTAGCAGTTTAAATGTAGACATCACATTACTTGGGACTGAAGGCTTATGGCTGTCTCTTAGCCTAATGCCATAGTTCTGCAGGAGCCTCTCACCTCTGGCTGCTCTTGGGGGCAGGAGTGGTTTTTGCTTCTCTTACTCGACTGACTGAGAGTGAGTGAGAGTGAGTGTGTGTGTGTTGGGAAGTTTGAGACACCAATACACCCAAGAATTGCCAATCATCAGGTGGTCAGGACATTCTCACCTGCCATGTGGAAGTTCCTGGTCTGAATGGGGCAGAGAACAGGGCTGTTGTGGCCTGGGTGTCGTCTCCTCTCTCTGGCTCCCCAATAAGTTTAGGAAAGGGATTGTAGGTTAAGGCTGTATGGCCCACTTGTCTCAGCCTAATTTCTTAAACAGAACTTAAGGTTTACTTAGAGAGAGAGTTCTTGATCAGCATTTTGTGACCACAGAAGAGAGGCTTGTCTGAATATGTAATAATTTGTCAGAGGTCCATAGGACAGAACTCTTCTGACCCTCATCTGCACTAAAAATGTACTCATTGCTCACACTCTTGTCAACAATTGGTGTAATTTAACTGTTGCTGAAAACTGTTTAACAGCAAGGGGTTTTTATTGCAGAAAAATCAGCCACAGTTTCAGAAACTGCAAATGACTCTGGTTTTATCTGGTCTCTGATGCAGTTAATTCATTTTGAGCACCAAAAATTACACCAGAAAAATATATCATCTTGATGGATCATATGCTGTAAGGGGACTTATTATGACTGGCCTGATTTGTACAGTTCTGCTTGTTATAATGCATGTCTGCCGATGAGCAAGAGAGTTTCCTGATACAAGTAAAAATACCATTTAATCATAGCTATATAGATCCATATGCTGTAAAATGATGTATTTTAAGTGAATTTAAATACACATTCCTTGACTTGGCATCTTAATATTATTAGGAGACAAAGAAACAGCATCAGGAGATTGTATCAGTTTACAGAATGCATCTTCTCTACGCTGTGCAGGTATGATTGCATATATCTCAGTCACATGATATGTTGTGTTTTAATGTAAGAAGTCCCTTCTGCAAATCTATAATGGAAATAGCATCTTATCTTTTGGTTACCCTAGACAAAAAGTGTGAATGTTTAAGCAGAAAGTATTGGAAAAGATTGAGAGTTGGGGGTTAACATATTTTTAAAACCTACTTATTAATGTAAAATTTCTGAAAGAGTAAATGATGCTAGCATTAAACTTCCTTTTTTCTCTTTCTGTCTAGGGTCAAATGGATGAAGATGTCCAGAAAGTGCTTAAACAAATTTTAACAATGTGCAAAAGCCAGTCACAAAAAAAGTGAAACTGTTTGTATTAATTCCTACCATACTGCCATGGTGTGTAGCTACACTCACCTTAACAGAAAATTTAAAATTGGCAACCTGCTGCTGCTTTTTTTTTTTTTTTTTTTTAAGTGAGCTGGATTTGTCTTTGTCACACTTCCCGTTCATTCTATGTACTGTGACCTAATGCATCTGCACATCTTTTCCCTTCCCACAAATTTAGTACTGTTTTCATATCTAAAATTCAAGTATATTTCAGAGTTATTACTTTAGCTACCCCAGATGTGAACTGTGGTCCATGGTGTTGTGTTGTGCTTCCCAGTTTCCTCCTTCAACATGGAGATACTTTCATTGAGGGTGACAAGTCCCAGCATGCAGTGCTCCATCTTGACACGAATAGTCACACCTGCTGAGTAAAGGTGAATTCTCCATTCTGAGTTCTACTCCTGGATATTGAAGAGGAGTTGGGGTGTTCTAATCTGCTCTGTATTTTGGCCCTCCAGCTCTTGGCATCTTGCCAGATGTGACCTTTGGTTGGGGCAAACTTCATTCACCCGTGTAGTAATGAACAATAGCATGTATTTGTGCAGAATTTTGCTTAGTGAGTCAGCGCATCAAGCAACTGAACTTGCCTGTAATTTGTTTTAGATTTAACAAGATCAATATCGATTTACATTTTACTATGCCCATTGTACACTGAGTATGTAAAATCCATGCCAACATCTGATAGTTAATTGCATTGTCTCAATGTTGGACATAATCATTTATAGTGCAACAAAAACCCATTTAGAATGTAAAACCATAAATCACGTGAGCCTCAAAGTTCTGTACAAAATAACCCTTTTTAATAGGTCAAACTATGCAAATATTCACACTGCTGTTAGCCATGGACCTCAGGAAAAAATAATACATATGCTTCAAACAAGGGATTCTCGTGAATGCAGGATGTTTACAGTGAGCAATGATGCCTCACCGTTCCTAACCTCTCTTTTGTAAAGATTTTCTCTTCAATATATTTTTATTGGCCCTCCAATGAAATTTTTTTTGTAACTAACCATTTTGCTACATGACGTTTGCATTAAACTATAATAAATATTTTAGGTAACCATGTTTGACTCTTTTTACCCAAAGTATTCAGCTAGACTAGAGTAAAGCATAGTGAAGTATTCTCAGCTCAGAAAAAACTAAAATAGATCTGTCAGCATATCCAAGAGCATTCAAATGTAAATGACAATTCATCCTGGTTCATCAAATGTGGGAGTACATGATACATATGTGCTGTTATTGAACAATAATTTCTACAAGTTTCTTGGACAAGAGGGGCATCATTGAAACCTTTGTTTTTAAGAATTAAAAGTAGACTTGGAAATGTTTCATGTGGTATAATGACTATATAGTAGAGAACTATGGAAGTATATTTCTAAGAGCACAGTACATTTAAGGGTTAAAACCATTTTAGTTTGCTGTTTCACTTATGGCATTGGTTTTATTCCTGTCGATGGAGATGTTTCCAGAGCTACATAATCTATGAAATTTATAAACTCCTAATTTGACAGAATCTGTTGTGCCTCAGGCTTTTACTGGATATTTAGTGCACTTACATTAGATAATTTCTAACAATGACAAAGCTCAAAAGGATTAAAAACTTTGCAGCAGGCCTTTGTTATTTTTCTTAGGTTGTTTGTTTAATGCCTGCTAATTTTGGACAGTATTTTATAGTTAGACAATTTGGAAAATACTCCAAAGAAATGTGAAAGGACTTATTTTCTGCAGCACTTAAAAATGTCAAGCATGCAAATGCTGCAAAGTTTAAAACTTGATGAACCATTTTATAAGTTGCTGTTCAGATTTAGTCTTATACCTTGTTTTGTTATGCATATTTATTACAATTATCTTTGTGAAATATTGAAAATTATACACTATAGCATAGCATTTGTTCTTGTATGTAATTTACAAAATGTTTCCTTATGCAGCAAATAAACTATTTCCATTTTTTCATCTTTGCTCTTTTTGTGCATTCAGCTAGATGTTTATACTATGGGATATCAGATTATAGTCTGTAATAAAATGGTTAGTTAACAGATCTTGCTACATGTTATATATAAGATCTGTTAGTCTATAAGGTGCCATAGGACTTCTCATTCTTGCAGATTTAGACTAACATGGCTACCCCTCTGATACAGATTATAGTACATGTTCCAGTTATATTAAGTTATATAATACTATGGTTGTATTGCTGTCAAATATGTAAGTAGTTGAATTTCTGCTAGCTGATTGATAAGGTTAAAGCTGTTTCTCAAATGGACATTCCCCTAGAAAAATGAATTAAGAAAAGAACATAAGGCAGTTAATCAAGACACATTTATTTTAGCATGTCAAAATGCAGTCATCCAATGCTCTGACTCATATAATCAGTATAACTATTGTTATCCAATATAAGAAATTAATAGTATCCCAGATCCCTCAAAACTAAAGCATTCCCATTGCTCACTCATCCCAGTGTGTGAAAAGACATACACATATCCTGGTGGGTCTGTGTCCAACCTCATTTCTCCTTTTCAGCATGGTCCACTCCTACAGTGAATTGCGCTTTGAAGACCCACTCTTGAATCACTTGTAACATGGAAGATGTAACTGAAGAAGATTAGTTCTAAGGTTTGAATCAACCCTGAAGAGTGACCCATGTAGAAAGGTCAGTTTCTCAGGTTGGATTTGGCCAAGTTGCAGTTTGGTCTCCCAGGAGCTGACCAGTGCACTTTGAAAATAGTGAAACCTTTAAAGATTTCTCAAAGTAATCCAGAATTGGATTTCATCTGAAATGAGAGTTGACTAATTACATGTTACAATCTAATGTCAGACTATCAGCATACTACTTTTTGATTACAGTTTGCTGATTATACTAGTGAGTGCAAACTGATTTATTATATGGTATCCCACAAGAAATACAACTTCTAAATAATCCTTCATCCTTCAGTTCCTTCCACTTCGTAGTCTGCTTGGATCATTCATGTTCCTTTTGGAAATAAGTAACATTCTGCTGCTGTCATCTTACGTATGTGTAGTAATCTTTATTTTTAAGTAGATGTTTGTATTAAGGCTATTTGCTAAATCAGTAGTTTTGGATCCACCAGTAGATGTTGGAGCCTCTGATAGGTGATCCTGACTGGTTTGACCAGGAAGCTAGGGAGTGCTGGTTCTTCATTTGCCCCTCCAACCATTTGTCATGCTGCTCCTGCTCTCTACCTTGGAGCTGCCCCCCTGGATGCCTCCTGCTTGCTGTGCAGAGTGTGGGAGGGACAAGACTGAGAGTTAAGATGTCAGTGTCCCTCCTTCCCCCCACTTCTGTACCCTATCTCCACACAGAGAGAAGGGGATGGAGGGAGCTTGGCAATGCAAATCTGTCACTCAAACACACACTGCCCTTCACTCTAATCTTCCGACCCAACACACGTGTGGGGGGTGGTTGTTACTTCTGTTACTGCTTGCAAAGTGGGTTAGTTTAGGTTTTTGACTGGTCTGTGCATTGCATAATTTTCATTTCTCTTACACTTAAATTTAATTCTTTGGGTAGTGAGTTCTGAAATGCTAACCCTGTCATGGCTGAAGCCATTATCCCTATGGTAATTGCTGCTCCTGGAAGTGGCTGGCATGTCCCTGCAGCCCTGGAGAGAGGCAGAGCAGGGGGTTGCCACATGCTGTCCATGCCTGCAAACACCACTCCTGCAGCTCCCATTGATCAGTAATGGGGAACCATGGCCAGTAGAATCTGTGGGCTCAGTGTCTGTAGACATGGAGCAGCACATGGTGCCATGGAGTCATTTCTGTACATGCCAGCTGCTTTCAGGAGTGGTGTAGGGGCATGGCAGGAGTAAGCCTGCCTTAACCCCACTGCTCCATCACCCAGAAGCTGTCTGTTACATGGTGGCCTTAATCACACTGCTCCACCACCTGGAAGCCATCTGAGTTAGTGCCCAGCCAGAGCCTGCTTCCTGAACAGCTGTCCCTGTACCCAACCTCCAGCCCCAGACTTGAGTCCCCCTGCACCCAAATTCCTTCAGAGCTTATATCCTGAAACTCCTCCTGCACCTCAAGTCCTGCCCTAAGCTAAGCCCAGAGCCCCTCCAACACTCCAAACCCCTGGGCCCAAGACCAGAGCCTGGACCTCAACCCCCTATCCCAGCCTGGTGAAAGTGAGTGAGGATGGGGGAGGAAATGGGATGGAGGGAGCTGGGTGAGGCCTCAGAGAAGGGGTGGAGCAGGGGGCACAGCCTCAAAGACAGGACTGGAAGGAAGTAGAGGAAGGGTATTTGGGTTTGAGGTCAATTTTTACATTGCACTTAAATTGAAAAAATGATCTTGTGGTTAAAAAGGTTGGTGACCACTGTGCTAAATAAATATTAGATACAGAAGACGTGCTACATTAACATTTGTGAGTTTTAGACTACCTCAAATTGCTCATCTAGTGGTATTTTTAAAGTGCAGTTCTGCTCCATAGTGACTAAGAATGGCACCAGTTTACTCAACAGATTAAAAATCTGTTCAGTGGTTGAAAACAAGTTTTTTACTCCCATTAACCTTGTGGTATAATAGAGGAATGGAGGAACCTGGATTCTATTTTTCGCTGACAAATCAACATATTTATTCATTTTACCTTCCATTACTCTTGAGCAACCTCATATCGGGGGAGGAGGTTTACGTAAGTGTAGCTCAGGATGACAATCCTATAGATTCTGTACTGTTGAAAGGCATGTGCCCAAGCCAGCCCAGAAAGAATCCAGTTTAACTTTCAGATCCCAGAGTGTGTGCGCAAAGCGGGTAGTATGAAAACCACCTTTTTCCTGTGAACTGAGTAAAACTGTTTTCTGTCCGGCTTGAGGCAATAGAAAACTGTCATGTGTTGGCTCATCCCAGCACAGGGCTTTTGAGACGTTTACGGGGATACATTGACTATTTATGATCAGTTTAATAATCCCTTCAGCTCTATTCAACAGTGATCAACTGCAGCAGAGACGGATTCAAAGTATCCATTAAAAAGTTTCTGCTTGCCGAAGGAAGAATGCTGTAGTTACAGAAATTGCTCCAAGCAGGCATCACTAATTCTGGCTGCTAGTAGGGAAACAATAGAAATTGTTTGAAAGCAAAATATCAAGTGAGTTTTAAAACAGTGCGACAGACCCAGACTAGATGGCTGTCACACTCTAATGGAGGGCAGGTATGCAGAGCACTGGATAAACAGTTTTCTATTCCCTGAAAACTCCCATGCTATGTCTACACTGCAGGCTTTTTGCGCAAGAATAGCTGTTGTTGCGCAAAAACTTGCCGGGTGTCTACACTGCACGTGCATTCTTACACAAGTAAATTTACAGTACAGCATCAGAAAACAGGACTTCTTCCGGAAGAGTTATTCCTCTCCCCATGAGGAATAAGCCCTCTTGCGCAAGAGCTCTTCCACAAGAAGGCAGTGTAGACAGGCAACATGATTTTCTTGCTCAAGAAACCCCTATGGCTAAAATGGCCATCAGAGCTTTCTTGTGCAAGAGAGCATCCTCTCACCTTAAATGATGGTTTGAAGACCCCAAGATGCAGAGAATCCTCCAGCAAGTGATCCGTGACCCATGCTACAGAGGAAGGCAAAAAACCTCCAGGGCCTCAGCCAATCTACCCTGGAGGAAAATTCCTTCCCGACCCCAACCATGGCAATCACAATTAATGGAGAGGAGCCTGCAGCATAGACATAACCCCAGAGTCTGCTGTCCTGTAATTAAGGGAAGCAGACACCTGAGGCTAATTAATAGCTGTCCTGAAGGAGCAGGCTAATCAAGCACCTGCAGCCAATTAAAGCTGGAGTGCTGTTTTAAAAGGGTTCCCTGGAGGTAAAGAAGGGGGAAGGAAAAGAGGAGGAAGTGTGTTTGCAGAGAATCTCAGAGAGGAAAAATCAGTCAGTAAACCAGAGAAAAGGTACCATGGGGAACATTTGCATAAGTGGCCCAAGGAAAAGGCCACAGACTTTGGGCTAGAGCAGGGCTACTCAATATGTGGCCTATGGCCCATTTGTTTGCTGCCCACAGTGCAATTTGAGTTTGTGGGGTTCAACATGAAGCCCGTGGGTGGGATCCTTTGAGCATGGCCTCCACTGGGAACATGCTCCACAACAGCGAGGTGTCTCCCAGACGGGGTGATCATGGAAAGACACAAGCGGACGAGGTGGCTGGAATACACAGGTACAGAGTATCAGTGTTTCTAGCCCCCAGGGAGGAGGTGTCAGGAGTCCTGGGGCATTGTGGGAAGTGCTTTGTATTCACATCAATGTGAAAGAGGCTATTTGCATGTATGTGCAACCACAGTTAAGTTGCGGCCTTCGACATGTTCTGTGAGTATGATTGTGGCCCCCAGGGCTTCCAAAGTTGAGTAGTCCTGGGCTAGTGTGACAACCCAAGCAGTTGCCGCTGCCTAGGGTCCCTGAGCCAGAACCCAGAGTAGTGGGTGGGCCCAGGTTTCCCCCAACCTGCTTGCACGCAGAAAGAACTCATTCTGGGAGAAGGAGGTTCAGGATTATGGAGATATCGCCTCCTCCCCATTAATTGACTTTGCCAGTGATGAAAATGGCTCAAACTCTAACCCTGACCTCTAGAAAAACACAAGTAGTATCTTATATGCAATAGTGAGCCTCTGAAGCATATGATGACTGCCTAAGGAGCGCAGGACTCATGGGGCATAGTCAGAACTTGCCACAAAAGATATAGCATGCATTATGGCAACTTCTTTTCTGAGTGCATGATACTTTTGGTCTTGAATGATTGTATCCCACCGTTGGGAGAGTGTGTGTCTTTGTTCCAGCTATTGCCTAGTCTACCTAAGGAGTTTATGCCCCTGTATTGTTTCCAGTGGTTCTTTAGCTTCAGTGGCTCTGGCTTTTAGTTCAGAAGGTGCCAACTTCAGACTACACTGTTGGCTCCAGCTGGGAGCCATGTCCCAGCTGATCACTCCTGTGGCATTTT